CTTAGGCATTGCGACCTACGTGCCAAATCCCCGCAAGTGGTCGGTTGCCCCCGGACCTCCAACCATTGAAGATTTCAACAAATTCATCACAATACGCATGGGAAGAAATCAATTCAAGCCAACAAGCATCGAACATGCGCATCAATACCTCACCGACCACTCGTCAAAGAATTTCACGATTGCCATTTTGAAATGGGGCGACTTCGTCAACACTGCTGCAGATTTGAACGAGTTTCGTACTCAATGCATCGCGCCTTCCGTTCAAGACCGAGCTGGTGCTGCCGCCGAGAGTGAGCAACAAGCTATGGTGGAGTCACTCAAAGCACAATGGGGTGACACCTATGAAGCTTATGACGCTACCTGGAGAATGTGGGCTGTGAAAATCCTGAAGCGCCCAAATTTTCAGCACGATGCGCTTATTCGCCGACCTCCTCCAGTCAATATGATTCAACTATTCCATCCAGTAAGCAATGCAGCTGAGGTGCGGATCGAACGAATCCAGATAAGTGTCAAGCTCGCTCGTGATGTTACTGTGTCGTGCTTGAAAGACCTCGTGAAAATCAAGAATTCCGCAACAGTGCTTGCCTTGCATGTTGAATCCTGCATCCAGATGCTCGAAGACAAGAAGGAAATGATCGAAAGCTTTCACAGAGAGGTTGATGCCACAACGGACAACGAAGACCTACAGCATGTGCTTGATGTGGTGCCCAATGTCGAAGACTTGGACCACGCGTAGCACCAGTAGTTGCATATTTATCTTTAGCCATTTTTGATCCCGATCTAAAGATGCTTTATTCTTAATTATGCCTGATTGTCATCCAACGATGAATCCTCTAGATTGTTGGAGAATCCCAAAAGCTGGTCTTGAGGTATAGCAATTGAGGTTGCTTCCCTTTCACGCATTTGCTTTGTGTGATCGAATCGGCCTTGTGCAGAATATCCACAATGCTCAAATATCGATGACATGTCGTACGCTTTGAATTGTAGCAAAACCTCTTGAACAGCAAGCATGAGTTCCTTCTTAGTTGATTCCTGATAGTGTCGTTTGAACGCCCTCTTGATCAATCCAAACATGTACTCGATGGGATTGAAGAATGGACAATACGCCGGCAAGAATATTGGCACAATTCCTCTTGACCGCAGCATATTGACAATTTCAGGATGACAGTGAATCCTCGCCCCATCTAGAATCCAGATAGATCCTCTTCCAGGGTATTGGCAGCATTCGCTTGCATGGGCAGCACAGCACTGAATGAAAGTGTGCC